CTTTTCAACACATTTTTCAGGTATGCCCGACTCGAATTCATGACTCGACAAATCCGGTTCCGGGAGAAAGAGTAGAAGATCCGTCGGGTATTTGGGTCGAATCCGAAACTGATATAATATGATGGGTCCAGGTCCGGATTTATTGATTCCGGTCCGGACCCGTCCCGTTGACAGGCCTAATTATCATGTCCCCACTATCTTTCCCGATCACACACACAAAAAGAAAAATAGTATTGCCGACAATGCGTACTCAAAGAAAAAGAAAGTTTTGATGTGATGTGCTACTGTTGTTAGATAAATTCCTTGACCAAACTATCACAACACTTAAGTAGATACGGGGCAGGGACGGTCATCTGATGACCGTCCCTGAACGGTCCCCTCACAAACACAATCGTGAGGACTAAAAATAACCACGTCGACTAGTTTTGGGAAGGTGAAAAAATGACGTCACATAAATTAGTAATGGAAAAAAAATTTGGCGCTTCTGATGGACCTCGTCATGAAGCATTAGCTCCGTTCCACAAAATCCCGCTCAAATGAATCATCAAACAAAAAGTTCATTTGCTTTCCCTCCACAATAATTGCCAATTTTCATTCATCCATAACACCAGAAAATGGAAGCAAACAGAGAATACAAGAAAGTGGCTGGAGGCAAAATAAGAAAGTGATTGAAGGCAGACTAGTTATAAGGGAAAGCAGGGAAAATACAATTGCACTAAGGTATATTACAACAAGAAAAAGGAAGGAGTAGCGACAGAAGAGCAGAGTTTCGCATCCGGAGAAGAGATAAAGCAGGAAACATCCAGGTAACAAAACAATAATGGTATCACATAACTTTCGAAATTTGACAAGGTCATGGAGCGATGTGAGTAGTTGTTATTGTTGGACAATGTTGTGAATGAATAGGTCAATTGATTTTTAATGGTTTTGGTGGAACAGACTGTTCACTAGTCTCAAGTAGAAGAATGTAGGTATTTTGGTGGCCAACATAGGGAAGGATAGGTGAGAAAAATTTAGTGCGCCAAGTGTTTGTAAAATCGTGTGAATGGGATGGAAAATTACTTGGGTAATAATATAACAAGGGTACTGGTTGTTTTTATGAATTTCTTATAGATTTTGTTGATTAGCAGTGCCTACGTGTAGATTATACTTTATGTGTGGTTTGTACATACTATTCATGGCAACATACAAAGCGAAAGAAAAAGCATTACAAAGATAATTTCCTTAAAAATGCCTCTTACAGCATGTTATATAAGAGACATTTCACATGAATAAATCATGACGCGGAGTAAAATTATTATGCGGAATAAAATAACATGACACTCAGATTGGTAGACGCATTGCAGAGAAAAAAGTTATAAGTTTTTTTAGCTAGTGGGGTTGGACACCATGTTGAATAACTGTTACATGCAGTTAGTCAACAGTTACAGTAGAAGAACTGATATGTAATATTGCGTGAGCATACTGTAAAATTGCTATCTATTATTTGTTAGTTAACTCGTATTTACATAATCACAGGATAAATAGGAGAAGAGGTTAATTGTTTGAAACTTGATAGTTAGGGCAGCAGACGACAATCTGAACAGGGTAGGCAGAATGAATAACATAATTTTTAACTTGGCACACTCAATGTGGAAAAAGGTTACAAGTTTTACATTGCTAGTGTGCGTGGACATGAAGTTGAATAACTGTAACATACAGTGAGTTAGCAATTACAATATAAGAACTGCTTTGTAAAATTTCGTAAATATAACTGTGAAATTGGTACCTCCTGATTGCTACATTAACTCATATTTATAGAGTAGGACAAGAAATAGAAGAAGTTAATCCCATCAAACTTGATAAATGAGTGAGAGTAGATTGTAAGTGGAATTGGTGAGACAGAATAATTAACCTACTATTAATTTTGACAAACAGAGTGTGAAAAATAAATTACAAGTTTTCATAACTATTGTTACTAAGATTTGAAAGTGATATATTATTTATGTTAGTACTTTGTAATGCATTAAGAATAAATGGGGAAAGCATAATGGAACTGAAGTGCAATTGTCTGTGTAAAACTCCAGTTTAAATGGACAAATACTCTAATCTCTGAAAGGGATGCATTGGAGATTAAGAATCTTGGGGCTTATGGAAAAGGAAAGTTGGTAACATATTATTTATTATTTACCTCATTTCATATAAAAAGTATTGGTGTATGTATTACGTGGCTTTGCTATTGAAATGATTGGTTTAATTTGATGTTAAAGGTTGGACGACATGATCCGGATGAGAATAATATAGTGCGTGGCGTACTGAACTATCCCCTGATTTGGTAGGGATGATGATGAACAGCGGGCATGCCGATATCGGTGTAAATGGGTCTATTCCATGGTTAACGAAATTTATTGTTTAGTTTGACGTAATTATTGCATATTATTGTCAATATTATGGGTCATTGATAGGTCTATCAATTTGTAACTACATACAGTTACAGTTAATATATGAAACCAATCTCAATATTACATTGAACAAATAAATTATCTTGAATTAAATCACATGCATGTAAATACATAAATGTAGTGATCTTTTGGATAATCATATTATAAATAAATGAAAATTCAATTTTCACGGTGACCATTTTATTTATTGCCATATAACTTACAGTTATAGAACCTATGCCAACAGTACAAATGTTAAATTTATAACTTTCACTTAGATGTACTATTGTATATGCGTGTATTGTATTCCATTCTGGAGAGCATGTGGCTCATTTATGGATTGGTAATGTCGTCATGTAACTGCAGGCTGAGCTAAATGAGTTGTATAACATTGCTGTTAGTAGACATACTGTCATAACACACCAATGTCAGCTGCATATGAAGCGGACCTGACAAACTGAATTAAGTGTGACTTTATTCAAGTTACATCTTAGATAAGCCTAATGTCATGTTAAGCCAATTGAAAAGTTACAATGTGTTTGAAAAATTATTAGTTACATTGTGTTTAAAAACTGTTACAAAATAGTTATTGAAAAGTTACAGTGTATTTGAAAACTGTTACCAAAAAAATTATTTTGGAAGTTACAGATTAAAAATTAATACAAAACTCCGTATTTGACTATTTGTTGACAGTATGTTTGTAGGTTGTTACAAAATAGTTATTAGAAAGTTACAGTATGTTCGAAAACTATTACAAAATAGTTATCTGGGATATTACAGTTTAAAAATTAATACAAAACTCCATATTTGAAGACTGTTAATTACGAAGTGTTTGTAAGTTGTTACAAAATAGTTATTGAAAAGTTGAATGTTATTGAAGACTGTTACAAAATACTTAATTGGGAAGTTAGAAATTGAAAATTAATACAAAACTCCATATTTGATGATTGCATGTTACAGTGTGTTTGTAGGTTGTTACAAAATAGTTATTAAAAAGTTACAGTGTGTTTGAAAACTGTTACAAAATAGTTATTTTAGCAGTTACAGTGTGATCCATACAACATAACACATATAAAGTATAGGGTCCATATAGCAGACCACATATAAATTTGGACCCAGTATAGGGTCCATACATGTCACGTTTGGACCCAAGAATAGCTTTCGTAGTTCAAAATTTGTTACACATAGCACAAATAAAGTTAGTACACGCGCATTTTTATACAATATAGACCCGAACATGTCGACTAACAAACTTAGCTCTATAAAATTTGTTTGCATTATTATCATAGTAGAGATCAAAATATATGCGGCCTTAGTTACACTGGCATTTCTGTATCTTTAACAACAAAATCGATTGGGATTTCATACGTACTCATTTTCACAGCCAATATTAGTTGCTAGTTTACATCTTCTAACGCCGCATATTACCACTCGAGAAAATAGAGTGGCCATGAATGAATGGCCATGATTTGTTATAAAAAAGTCCATGACAACTTTTTAATGCAAATTGAGTAATTATAGTTGTTATTTGTTTCTAAATTGACCTTTTACCATGACCATTACCCCAAACGCTGAAGCCAATTAAGTTGAATGTTTGGTGAATGTTTACAATTACGTGGTAACTCCGTCCAAAATTTAAGTTTAGATTTTAGGACACTTACTCTTTTAATACAACAACTTTCTTTACATAATATTTGCTTCTAAATATTACTTTTATTACGAACGCGTACCCTTTTTTTGTTGAAGCAAACAGGACCATTTTATAGTATATCACGAGCGCATATATCACGACATATCACGAACGCATATATCACGACAGTCATTTGTTGTGGTATCCTATGAAAAATACCATAATCATAAAGAAGCACGTTCAATGGTATTGTAAAAATGTTAATTTTCAGTCAACTTTATAATTTCTTAACAACTTTATACAACCCATTACAGAACAATTGATGACTACTAATACTGGATATGATTACAATTGTAACCCACTTATCTAAGTTTGAATAGAGTGAAACATTGAAGGTGCCTATCCAAGCACATGAATAACTTGTAATAGCTTATTAACTGCTTGTAACGTAGATATGCAGCATTCCCAATCAAGCCAACATGGAGGTCCAATAACAAATGTTCTTCGAAAAACACCGCAAATCTCGTTCAAGATAACTAATGTATGAAAATAAAAAAAAAATCTAGTCAGTTACAGTCAACATGCACTAATTCATTTCAATATTGTAGATTAAAAGAAACTGATAATAGGGAAGCGATTGAAACTGAACAATATCTTCAACAGAGAAGTACTAACATCAATAAATGAGGTCAACTTGGTGAATGGATAATCAGAACTAAATACACGTAATGGAACATACGGTTAATAATATACGATGTCCAAGACATCCAATTAACAATACTACATAAATATGTGATGTAACGATAAAAGTTTGTCACCCGCGGTGATGGTGAAAATACATTATATGCATCAATATCATAGCGTGTTGAAATTGTCGCACGCTCCTTCTACATTATATAATATAACTATTCAATTGTCAATAAATCATTACCAGTGCCTATATTGCTCATTTCAAAAGCTAAATTGGACTAGATATTATAAAAAAAATTATATATCAAACCATTAAGATATCTCTGACGGAGTTATGTTTCAAAAAAATAGAAAATTTGGGTGCATCCATTCTGTAGGGACTGTCGCAGGAGGCTCCTAATTAACCAAACGGTGGACCTTCGGATAATACAAAATAATATGTCATAGAAGCGAGTATACGTTAACTACATAATATACATGCGTTGAAGCGTTCAGGTGTCCACCATTACAATAATCAGAAAAGTAGTTTTACGATAAGAACAATAACATCTTTATTTTTTCAACTAAATGTATGCATACCATTTCACTTTTTTTCGATTTCGGGAGCAACGGCGTTTGGAGGGTCATTCACTGATTGGCTCCTTGAATGCGTCTACGAGTTTTGAATGGCTCCTACATTGTATAAGACAGACCAAATAGGTATGTCAGGCGTAACAAAATTATCACATAATATAACATCCATGTAACTAATTATACCGTTAGAAACATTTAAATAAAAGCTAAAACCATGGCCATCACCTCTTAACATATTCAGAAGGAATTGTTTTTATGCCTACGGTATCAAACACCTTTAACGCGTGCCTATACAAAATTCCTTCATTCTCATATTTTTTGCAACTACAGCGTACATTTAGATCATTCCGATTGAATACCACTATTCTTTCAGGTCCTCCATCATACCTCATAATCGCAAACTCCACAAACATCCCTGCATCTTGTTGTTTTAATATAATCATAGTTGTTGACTCGCCATATTCATTTTGGAATGCATCAAATACTGTTAGTGAATACGTCTCTGCTGCATGCACAAATATAGGTGTTTGCCTCAACCCAATCATGGACAGTTTTTGCCTTATTTCATATTCTGCGATGAGTTCATTATGTCTCTTATCATCAACCACTCGATTGAAATGTTTAAACAACAACACAAGGTCGTGATCCAGTTTCAATGTGCAACTCATGGTTATGCTCTAAGACAAGGTCATGCACACGGTACTTCATTGTCTCTCTAAACAATACGATAACCATTTTAGCTCCACACCCTGTTTTCGTCGGCGCTCGTGCCCTCTTTGGCATCACATCACCTTCGTACTTGTGCTTCACACCTTTCTTGCAGCAACTATATCTCCTAGACGTTGTCACTCCGTCTTTGCCTTTATTTAAATAGTCTTTGCGTATACTAAAATCTATTTTAGAGACATATTTGTTGTAAAACTTGTACGCATCCTCTTCACCGCTGAACTCTATTCCTAACTCAAGGGTCCTTATCTTCTGCCAATTTGCTGCAATCCATTACTTCTACTCCTACCAATTATGCATCAAATACCCTATTTTGCAATATTTCATGAATAGTATGTACATAAACAACAGTATAAATGTATATTACCATTCATAATGTGTTATAAATCACACATTACTCGTATACCAAATCCTATTATTATGCTTATGAATATGATTAATGATTCACATCACTTTACTTTGACTCTAAGACAACGGCATTATTTATGTACAAATACAACTCCATGTACACTAAGTTATACGGACTGTAATATGTTGGTCACATGATGTAAATCTTTTTTAACTGTATGTACATCCACTCTGGTGATTATATTTAGATTCTAGGTTCCTTAACTCACTGGACCTTATGTCATTCGTTAATTATATAAGTCTAAGCCAACTTCGCATTTTATACTATTTCTACATTTTGAGGGCCAAACAAGTATTTTCTACTCATTGTAATATATTTCTTACATCATGTAATTTATTTACAACACTAGGTACACCTATTTGTTATTCACATCTATTTGCTTCTTTTTCTCTGTTTCACCTTATTCAACTCTATACCTCTATTTTATACACACTGCATGATCCGGAGAAGGGCAAACTAAGATTGTATAATGAGCATGGACCAACTACTAGATGCGCAATGATTCATACCAATTGTAATATGGTGGTTATAACCTGTAACTTATTTACAACAAGATGTACATTCATTCACTTGTTACATGTGACTTTGTTTCTCTCATCTTTCCCCAATTCCGCTTGATGTTTTACTTCAATACATACCCTTAGGTTTTCGGATAACTACTATCTCATTATAATCCATCACTGAAAAGCTGAATGCTCACACGCACACACATATGGTACAAATTCACTATTCTTCACAACCAATATTATGTTTTTAGTGACTCTAATTTCATCCCTAAACCCTAAACTGATGTGCATTGGGTGACAAATGATTGGCCACAGTTGAAGACGATGGTTCAATCATGTTACCTTGGTATGCTAATACGCTTTATGTTTCACCGAACTTGGAGAGCGCAATTACTTCTGCTATTAAGTTGCATGACTGAACCAAGTTCGTCAGATGATGAATTTCCTCTATTTGCTTCTAATAGTTTGTGTCGCGCCCCACTTTTCGAATGATGGGTGTGTGTGTGTAGTGTGGTGTGAGATGTGAGTGTGTAGTGTGTGTGTGAACGTGTGCAAAATGAAAATAAAGGCCATGGGACTTGATAATGCGACGGTTTGGCCATAAAAAGTTCAAAAGGGTTTTTGTATCAAAAATGGAGTCGCCACTTGGTATAGGGTTAGGGTGTACCAAGTCACCCAAAAATGATTTTTGTTTTTGAATAAAAAAGTAAATAAACCCTTTTAGAGAACTTTTGGGTCTACGTAACCAAAAGAGGGATCGGGGGTCACATTTGACGAAGGGGAAGGCAAGGATAAAAATCCAAGGCACCCCTTCGACCTAGCCAAGGCTAGTTGCGTGACTTAAACCAATTTTCCTAATTTTTCTACCCAAGGTATGTATCGCATGTTGGATTTGACTAGATGAATGCAAAATGCAAACCTAAATTCTAAAATGTCTCTTGTAAGGTTTTTGGTCCCAACCACATGAGTTGTGGCGGCCAATAAAGGAAAACCTTATAGAGGTCGATTAATGCAAATGATGGCTAAAGTGCAAGTGTGCGATTGTATAAAAAGGTGCACGTGTGAAATTGTATGAAAAATCCAAGTGTTTGTGTGCAAGTGTATGAAAAAGTGCACGTGTGAAATTGTATGAAAAATCCAAGTGTTTGTGTGCAAGTGTATGAAATATAGTGATAAGTGCATATAGGTGTAATTCAGTGCAATTTTGTGAAGTAGAAATCAAAATGAACAATAAGGAAAGGAAAATGTGAATTGAAAAGAATGAGTAAGTGGTAAATGAGAATGAATGAACCTAAGGGAATGCATCAGGTCGGGTATGGGAATGACTCCTAACTTTTCGACTTCGATTTTCCCTTTGATTAGAAAGCAAAACTAGCGTGCTAAGGCTATCGAGTAGCCACACTCGCTCGTTTCCCTTATCAGAAGGGGATTCTTCAGGCAAATGTACCCTAACTAGCATGAGATGCAAGATCTAAAGTGAGGGGAAAGGGGAATCGAGGAGCATGCCAGATGATAAAACTAAGGAAAAATGCATGATATGTAGTGAACAGGCCAATAATGCATTAATGAAAAACAAAGGAAAAATCCTATTGGGTCTAGCGTTGGACTAGCCCTTTCTATGAATTCCTACTAGCATTAGACTAGTGGAAAGGATAAAAGAAGCGCAACTAGCGTTGGACTAGTGTGGTGACGTACATTCATCCATCACATTCATTCATGGCTATGGAAAGCGATTAGACATGCCAAACACCTATAAACACATAGCACATAACAATTAGCATGCTCGACTAGATGCAAGAACCTAATAAAGCAAATTAACACATAGCAACAAAAGCAAGCAAGATACATAGGACAATTAAAGCCCTAACTATTACATTTGCTAGCTAGGCACATGACTTCGATAGGTCTTCATTGAATGCTCCTCCAAGCCCTATCTATTACATTAGGGAGACCCTACTACAATCTAAAAGGGAGAAAAGGAATAAAATAATTAAATCCCTAACTATTACAAGCCAAGAGGTGTACACATACCCCATAAAGAATAACTTAAATAAAAAGCAAAAGGGAATGAAATAAATGCAAGGAATTAAGGAAAGGCAAGGAAAGCGAAGTAGACATGCATATTCACATAACACGTAGGAGCACATAGGGTCGAATGAAGTGCAAATAAGGGATAGAGTGTACCTCCCTTGAAATGGAAATCGAGTAAATGAGATATTAGCTTCAAAACAATAAAAAGGTCAAGGTACCAATTTATGTGGCAAATAATCACAAAGGATAAAAAATAAGCATGAATTTGAATCAATTAAATCATGTCGACAATTCACATTTAAGAAGTCAAAAGAAGAAAGGACCTGATTGCAAAGATTGACAAAGTTTGGAGGTCAAAATTAAAGAAAAATAAAGTTCAGGGACCTATTTGCAATTAATTTAAGGATCCAATTGAAAGAAGTTGAAAATATCCAGGGCCACAGCACAGTTAAGGAGAAATTCAGGGACTGATTTGCAAAATTATTTTCTGGTTTCTTAATGGACCAAACCATTGGGCCATTTTTCCTTATTTGCTTGGGCCAAAACCTTCCAGGCCCAATCGGAAATCCAAAACAAAAGGGAATGGGCCATTTTCACCTTTATTGGGCCAAGATCACTTGGCCCAATCGGAAGTCCAAGGAAAAACAAGTGGGCTAGTATTATTTCGGCCCAAAAATTAGCTAACCAAAACACATGGGCTATGACCCTCTAGCCCAAGCCAAAAACCCAAAAATGAATTAAACCCTCTTACTCAAACCCAACTAAATATCATTAGCCAAACATGAGTCTACGCCCAACAAGATAGCAAATCAACTAAAATTATTTAAGCCACAATTATGATCCAAAACCCAAAATTAATTTATCCCAAAAAGTCACATAAAATAGGCAAACATAGGATTAAGCTCAAGAAAGGCAAAATGGATTTGATTTTTCCAAATTTTTGAGACCACGGTGAACAAGGGGGACTTGAGGGATTAAAATACAACAAAAGCAAGGACCTAATTGAAGGACTTATGAAGGTGTTGGGGGCAAAATTATGAAGTCCTAAAATTCTGGGGTTAAATCATAATGGAAAAGGGAAATTGAAGGACTGGAATCATGAATTTAATCAAGTAATCTTCTTCTCCAAATTGGCTCAACATCTGCTGCCATCTTTCTTTGCAGAGGGAAAATCAGAAAACTCAGGCCATTCCCAATCAAAACAAAATTGCGCAAGCTCCTTCTCATATCATTTCAATTTTGAACTCATACAACCGAAATCAACGGCAAACAGTGCCAAAAACAAGCCTGTCAGAGCCATTCGAAACTCTGTTTTCTACCGTGAAAGTCCACTATTTTGACAAGCATGGAATTTGCTGACCATATCATTTTTCACACAAAATGCAACAAAACTCATCCTTCAAGTATAATTTTTAATTCGGCATTTCGTCGAACAGCTATTGGGCATTAAAAACTTAGCCAATTCTTTGTTCAGTTGGAAGTTATTCAGCCCAAGAATTATTAATAGCAAAAGAATTCTAGCCCAGTAGGCATACACAGCATGTACATTCAACAGAACCATGAATAAACGGCATAAAATTGAAACAACAAAGCTCACGGCAACCATGCTCTGCGAGCTTCTAAAGCCTAAAAATGGAGAGGAAAAGGATAAACTCACAGTGCTTTTTCTCTGTGAATCGCAGGTGGGGTGGAACAATTCCGGTGGTGACAGATTCCGGTTGCTGAGCAGGCGGTTGATGGTGATGGCGGATAGCAGCGGCAGCGGACACGAACTGGTGGTGGCCTGATTCTTCCTCCCGTTTCCCTTCTCTTTTCTTTTGCCCCACCGCCAGCTCCTTCTATATCCAGCCATAGCCGCCACCGCTCCTTTCTTTTCCTTTGATTTTCTGTCCTCCCTTGAAGCCTTCCCTCGTTGCTTTGTTTTCTTTTTCTGGTTCCTTGCCGTCATGCCCTCAGATTTTCCAATTTCCCTAAGATGTCTTTCCCCTCTCTTCGCCCTCTACTCTCCCCCTTGTTTTCCTTTTTCGTTCCTTTTTCCATTCTTCAGCCCGTCCGCCGCCCCCTACTGCCTTGCCTTTTTCTCTCCAGGCTAAGCCCTCTGTTTTTTCCTCTGTTTTTAGCCGTGGCTCCTTTCTCTAATTGCCCCCCCCAGATGAAACGTGCTGTGTATTGTTTCCCTTCGTTTTCTCCTCTGCCCCGTAATCTCTTCTTTCCTCCTTTTTCTATTTCTTAATCGAGGCCCAAGCTTTCTCAGACTCCCCCTCTAGTTTTCCTTTTAGCCGCCATTTCTGTTTTCTTTTCTCTGTGTTTCCTCTTGGCCAAAAACCTCCGTAGACATCCCCTCTGTCTTTTCTTTTTCCCGATCCTATCCTCCTCTCCCTTTGCGGCTCTCAATCTCTCTCTCTATTTTATCTGGGACCTCCCAACCCTAAACACTCAAAACATCTCTTCTATATTTGCAGCCTAAGGTCTCCTGAGCCCCTCCTTGCAAAGCTGCGAAAAACGCAGCAACAATGTCGCGTATTCACTTTTTTTCTTTTTTGGTTAAAACTAATTACAAGTTGATAATAGTAAAAATAAATAACAAAACAATTTAATTATCATTGGACGAAAAATAAATAAGCTAGAAACAACAAAGTGCAAATTCCAATTCATTTTTTTCATTTTTCCATTTTTCTTTTAAATAATGAAACTAAATCCTAAACAACTAAAACATATTTTTTGAACACTTTTCTTTTCCCTTTGAGAAATTCTAGCTAAAATGGCTAAAATAACTAAAACTAAAAAGTAAATAAAACTAAATGTGACGAATAAAAATAGAACAAATAAAAACGAATAGTAAATAAATAAATAATAAAACACCAAAAATTTGGTGTCTACAGTTTGCCCCTCTTTGTCTGAGTTTTGAAAAAACTTGAGACAAAGAAGTAGACACCAAATACTTACCTGTGTTATTCGTCTGCGAATTACTCAAATGATGGGGACTGACCCCTGACAGGAAATTTTAAAATCGGGATTGACCCGAAACATAAATTTAAACGGGACTGACCCGAACAATAATTTAAACGGGACTGACCCGAACAGGAATTAAACGGGACTGACCCGAACAGAATTTAAACGGGACTGACCCGAACACGAATAAACGGGACTGACCCGAACACACGGGACTGATTTAAACGGGACTGACCGACAGAAATTTAAACGGGACTGACCCGAACAACTGACCCGAACAGAATTTTAAAACGCGGACTGACCCGCCAACAGGAATTTAAAGGGACTGACCCGAACAGAATTTAAACGGGACTGACCCGAACAGAATTTTAAACGGGACTGACCCGAGAACAGGAATTTAAACGGGACTGACCCGAACAGAATTTAAACGGGACTGACCCGAACAGAAATTTAAACGGACTGACCCGAACAGGAATTTAAACGGGACTGACCCGAACAGAATTTTAAACGGGACTGACCCGAACAGGAATTTAAACGGGACTGACCCGAA